AGTCTTGACAACACATCTCTTGGAGTTCTAGCTCACCTTTCTGGTGTTGTTCTTATACTCATCTGTTTAATCTAGTTCTGCCACTTCTTCTTGAACTTCTTGTTAGATTTCAAGTCTGTATTTTGTGTCCGTGACACCATACTCTTCATTTTATAGTTGCATTACTTCTTTAGATAATGTTAAGGAATGTGTTTAGATTATCTACAATTTAAGCACAATTCTTTCTCTCAACATTGAATCTTTTTTTGCTCAACAAGATGTTTAGTTGTATTCTATCAATTTGTATATCTTCGACTTCCAAATGTATGTATTAAAAAGATGTTACCATTAAATTATAAAACATTGAGAGCTACTTGTGCAACTCTTAGATCCAAATTTAAAAAGTCCATTATCATACTCTAGAGCAAAGTCAATTATTTAACTAAATTTGTAAATATTAAGTAAATTTAATATTTATTTTTTTACCTTATATTATAATTTGTAGAAAAATTGGCTTATGAATGCAACATCATTCTATTTAATATTAATTATAGGTTAATAGAATTTTGTAGCATGTCATATTATTAATTCATTGTTTTCATACAAAATTTAAATCTTATTGGTTGCAACACAAATTACATCATGGTTCTCATAGATAGATTAAAATTTTTCCAAATAAGCCTCCAAAGTATCCAATATTGGATCATGTTGTTAAAAAAGGATAAAAACCATAATAAAATAGAACTTAAAAGTAGTGTTTTAATAAATTTAACTTTTGATTTGAAAATTTGATAACTTTAAGATTGACATTCAATCATTAATTATACTTAATTGATGGATAATTAAAATATTAAATTTTATTTAGATAAGGCAAATTTGGATTCTTTGATCCTTAAACTATGTTCTATCATATAAAAAATAATATGATTTAATATATATGTTGAAGTAGATCCAATCATTATTATATTTTTACTTCTAATCAATCTTGTTGTTCCTTGTAGAGATAAATTGAGTTAATACATTACAAGCATTGTATTCTTTATTTTTTCTTACATTCATAGCATTGCATTTTTCATTTCAACATGCTCTCTTGTAATAATAAAATAAAGAAGAAAATAACTAATGTCACTAAAGACAATTAGAAGAGAGTACTTAAGAATAAAAAAACCTCTAAAAAAATATTAGTTTAGAAGTGGATAATCTACAACTTCTAATATATTCATATCTTATTTAGAAAAAAGAATAATCTATACTTAATTTTTTAAAAAAAGATATAGCTTCATATTTTAATTATATTCTTTTCAAATTTTCAAAGAAAAAATTAAAATATTTTAAATAAATAATTTAAACATATATAAAATAAATATGAAAAAAATAAATAAATAATATGTTTGCTTAAAAAGAAATTAAAATGGCTATTGCCAAAAAAATAAAAAATTAGAAACTCTTGAAATTAGACTAGAAGAAAAAAAAAAGAATTGACAAGAGTAAAGAAGACCTCACTCTTGCCTCTATATATATTATCTAAGTAGAGGCTACATAGCAACAATCTACAAGATCTCCAATATGTATCCAACTTACATGATGTATGTCTAACTTAAAGACAAGTTTCTTATATATATATATATATATATATATATGCCATATGGCCAATTTGATAGCAATTTTTTCAACCTACCAATTACCTATAGACATATATAAAATTAAATTTTTATTTATGAAGCTTCTCTATAAGATATTATCAAATTTACATACTTTTACTTATTTCTACCTAAGTCTTCTTATTTAAGTAATCAATAGTTTTAATTATATCTATGACACATGATTTGAAAGATATACATATATATATATATATATATATATTCTAAGTTTAATATGTGTTGGAAGTCATACAAAATATCGTCATATAGCTTGTGATTAATTAATACATATATAAAGATAAGTATGAAGCCTTTTTTTAATCTTGTCAACTCTTTTCTTGCTTCTAATCTAATTCCAAGAGTCTCTAGTTTTTTAATCTTTGGAAATAGCCATTCTAATTTTTTATTAAATATATATATATATATATATTATTTTTATTTTTTATAATCTTTCTTTAATATATGTCTAAATGTTTTATTTACAATCTTTGAGTTCTTATTTTTGATATATATAGACATATATTTATTGAAATCTTATTATTAGATAATATAAATATTATATTTTTATCTGTATATATATATTTTTTAAATATTTAAATATCTTGATTTTTAAAAAATTTCTTTAATAAGATTCTTCTAAAATGATATAATTTCAAGTGTAAAATTTTAGACTAATTAAAAGACTATTTCTTAACAACTTCTTTTTTTCATAAAATTGGTTATAGATTTATAGCATAATTTTTTTTTATAAACCAATTTGATGGCTTCAATACTAAGTCTTAGTAAAGATGTTTATTAAGAAATTTTTCTACACAATAACTTATTGGTTATTTATAAAATTGATTATCTATAATAAATAATTATATTATTTAATTAAATAAAAATAAATAGAAGTACATATAAATATGCCAAGTAGATAATATTCTTATTTAGAAACTTTTAAGAATCTCTTTAGAAGCATATTAGAAGCATATTAGTCAAATATTCTACAAGTTTAATTTTTTTATAAAATATTATTTTTTATCTTTTTTTATATTTTTTACATATAATAAATTATTTTATAATATATAATTATATTTAATTTATGATAAAAATAATATAGAAATTATTAAATTATTTTTTTTTCACCAACTTGGTTTAGTTGATTATTTGTAAGATTTTAACATAAAATGACAAGTTGCCGATTAAAAAATTAAGAATATACATAAATTAAAATATTAATTTTAAATTAAAAATTTTATGTTATTAATTTTGAACCTATTGCTTATTCCAATTTATAATAATTATAGCTTAGAAATTTTGTCTTTTAGTAATAAGCTCTCTTTTCTTAACAATTGGTCTTTGTCAAACTCTAACCAATTGGTACTACAAGCTAGCAACCAATTCTACTTATATAGACAATGCAATTAACTCTAATATCTTCTTCTTAACTCTTCTTAGTCTTCCTAAGTAGTCAAACAAATCCAATAAGAATAATATAAATAATTGTCTCTAAGATAGAGTTGTTTTTGTTTACTAGATGTTCTTTTAACTATCAACAATAAACTACTCAATTCATATCCAATAGGAATACAAATCACTCTACACTTGCTCCAATTTAATTATACAAAGTAGACTTTTTTGCACATGGAGATCTTGAGATACAACAACATACCAAATGGATTTTATTTAATTGTCCTTTTAAAATAGGACACACTCACTTTCTTAAGGAACTAATAATATGTATTATCTCCAATTAATAACTTAACTTCAACACAATGCTAATTAAATGACTTCTTGCTCTCAACTTAGCAATCTTGTTTTCTACAATTGTTATCTTCTTTAAAGACATAAACTTATTATTTACAATTCAATTTCTTAGATAATAATGTAAACTTAAATAAACACACAAAGTCTTATTGTTTAAGAAAAAGATTTGTTTTATTCAACAACTTTCTAATCTTTTTTAGTTGTCAACTCTTCAATTGAAATATGTCCCATGTTGGAATTTTTTCCTTGTTATATAGAATGTTCAATTGTAATAACTAATTTTTAGTTAACAACCTATTCGGCAACCACTAATTGTCTAACAACCTGCTTGTAAGCTAATTGGAATTTTTTTTTCTAATTTGGATACTAAAATTGAAAATTTAAAGTGTTTTTAATAATTGTCAAAAATAAAAAAATATACACAATAATTGAATGAATTTCTTTCAAAGTTATTCTTGCATCAAAAATCTAAGATATACAAAAAGTATGCATATTAATATTAGATCTTGTCTACTAGTAGTTTAGTAAAAAATTATAAATGTATTTCATGTCAAACAAGAAAAACCTTATATTTAATGCTCTAGTTGAACTTTCTCTATGCTGAACTTCACATCATCTATGTCATATGTCATACATTTTCATGTTTTTAAGATACAATTTTTTACTTCATTATTAAAAAAATAAATCAAATATTTAAATTTTCATTAGAATGATAATTAATTTAATTGGACTATTTCTTATGCATGTTTTCACTTATTTCAGTAAATAATAGTATTAAAGAGTCGGAGAAGCAACTACATTGATCTATCTATTGCTTGCCTCATAATTCATTTGTGGCTAATGCAAGAGTTACATGCTGCACAAAACATCACGTATTACCTGGAAAGCAAGTACAAAAAAGCTAGGGTATACGGATATTCACAGTATGTGCAGTATTAGGGTAGGCATCATCATGAAGCACAAAATGTTAAGTTACTGTAGAGCGTTCAAAAGTAATCTACTAAATCAAGAAGATTTCTCTTGATACATGAAGAAATACGAGTGGAAACATCGAACAGAGTTCTGCTGCTCCATTGCGCTTTTAGATGAGTAAGGATTGAGAGGAAGGCGCATTATTTCCCAGCGCTACAGAAATCCTAGATGAGGTATCTCGGAATACTGCTTAATGCCACTGCTGCATGTAACATGGTTTGGTAGGTTTGTAATTTCCATTAAACTGGAAGAAGCTATGCTTTGCTGCTTCCGTAGAAGATGTGTTTGTGGATGCAAATGTCCAAATGCCGTTGCAGAAATTTCTTTCAGCAAATGGACTCTTCCGCTGAGAGATAGCTCCACAATCATCTAATGATCAGAGATTGAAAGCAACAGTGATTGACCTGCAATTTAAGATTCAGAGTACCCGATCGCTGTTCCCGAGATTGAACAACGCCGTGTTTAACAGTGTTCCTTCTGCAATCCGCTGTACAATGTTCCTATTCAATCGAACTAGCGTCTTTCGGATCAGTGTCAATCCATCACAAACAGGCATGCTTGAATCAAACTGAAGCACCTCTCGACACAATCGTATATGAGCTGCACACAAGTATACAAGAAGATGCAAAATCCAGTAGTTGCAGACAAGAGGAGCCGCAATTGAGAAGCAGAAGAATTTAGATTGCCAATGCCTACCGGCAGAAAATTGCAAACTATCGAGAGCAGTGCGCGACCACTACTCAAGAGGGCGGTACTGTGGTAATTAAAATTACAGTGAGTCACCTTAAGCCGCACTTAGTGCCTCACAAATGGACAAACAAATTTACAAGACATTGTTAAATAAACTAGCCAAGATATCCCAGATAGTAAGATAAGAGAACAAGCACCGAAATGCCAATAATTATGTTGAGGAAGTAGTTGGAGCCCATAGCCTTGTTAGGAGAACCCCCGATAGCTAAATACTCGGCGCGGATCTTGTCCTTCATGTTGTCCGAGAGTTCTTGCTTCGCTTCCGGTTGCGTGGAGTATTTGGATGCCACAAAAACCTCGGGCTCGTCCTTCTTCTCAGGCTTATCGAGGAAGAAGCCTTGTGGAGGATCAAATTCGGCACCGATTTCGCTGAGCTTAGCGTGAGAGATGGCGTAGTCGTTGAAAAATGCCTCCCTGTCTGTGGCGTACTTCTCAGCGTATTTCTTGAATTCAGGGTCTTCGAACAAGACGGCGTCCGTAGGCAAAACCACAAGGTCCGCGTCTCGCTTCTCCTTAATCTCCCTGAAGTAGGAGTTGTCAAATTTCAGCCACTCAGGCGTCCATGAGGAACCTCCTGGTTTGCCTGGCCCGTTCTTAGTGTACTTGGTTTCTTTCTGCCCGAATCCACTGCGTTCTGGGTGAACCCTTCCTAGAGTATGTGCACCTGAGGAAGATAAAATCGCGCAGTGAAATCGTCAGTAATAGAGTACTAAAAAGAGCAGAAGAAACAGTGCAGGAGATTTCACTAACCTAATTCCCAAAACGAAGTGTGAGAAAGGGCATTCAAATGCATACCTGAGAGAGCGACAATATCTTGGTCGTTCAAGTCCATCCTGTAGAAAACCTTGCGCAGGTGGTCAGCAGGGGGAGTAGGTTTGGGGTCAGCATCGGGAAGATTGCCCTCCTTCACACACTGATCGGGGCCAGAGACATCTTTGCGTCCATAACGAAGCGGGATTTTAGGGCCCCCGGCTTCCTCAATGGCAGTGGCACTTGCGAGCTGAAACAGGTCCGCATAAGTGATGTCTGGATACTTCTGCTTTGTGGACTCAAGCAGCTTGAGGGCATTGATGAGGCCTGCATTTGCCTTGTGGCTGAGCTCAATGTCATATCTGATGCTTCCATTGGCGCCACCTCGGAGGGGCCACTCTTTAATATTCTTGTCATAAGTCCCTGCGTCGTGCCAGCCCAAACGGATCAAAATTGGGTGACAAGGATCCTCCCGGAGAAGAGTCTTGATGTCCTCGCGGGCAGATCTCAGCTGGGCCGGATCAGAGGCTATGGCGCGCACATTAAGAGAAGCAAAAGGACCTTTCCTTGACGCCGCAAACTTAATGGACTTCTTAACTGGTGAGAGGCTCGGAAGAAACTCAGACCGAAGCTGGGAAGTAGTTTCGGAACACGCCGCTGCTCTTCTCCTTGTTGCAAACCCCAAAGAAGCAGCCTCAGAAGGAGCAGAACGCGATGAACACGACGACGACGAAGCTATTTGCACACTCACCACCCCTGTGCTTCCTAACCCCAGCACTGAGGAAGCCGAAGTCGCCATGACGCGTCAAACCAACTACCCCAATCCTAAATCTCAAATCTTCTCCTCACAGTTGCTCTACACTCGACACCAGATAGATCAAACAACGAGCTTACAGAACGTAGTGCCGCGGTGGCTTCAATCCCTTCGTTTCCCTCAGTACAAACCAGTGAGACCAGGCACACAGCGATATATATGTATTCGAGGATGAAAACAAGATGGGTCGCAGGAAGCTTGCCGTTAGGTTGAACAGTGACAGTAGGAAACTGCGTCGGAAGGAAGAGGCCTGCAGTCTATCACATGAGGATGTCCAAGCCAAGTGTGAGCAATGGTCGACTGAGAGATTGGATCCACAAGCCTGTGTCTGGTATGGCCATATCGAAGCCGCTGGAGTCGCTGCGGCGTCCGAGCCATCCCGTGGAGCCAATAGCGCCCGAGGCCCCTTGGGTCAACGATAGGGTGAATTGTGCAGGTAGGACCCGCCCCATCTCATCCTCGGTTCTGTGGATCGCATCATCGTAACCTCAATGACGTCGACATGCAGTACATGGTTTCGACTGTATTCCAATTGGGTGGCGATAATTCTAGATGCCTCCCGACGGAGTGAAACCAAGCTGGTCGACATGGACCAGGCAAAACTCCACCCGAAGCCACTACTGGATGAACGCTGGAACAGAGCCACAAAATCGTTGGCAATCCCCTCGAGCCATGTCGAGTTTGTCAATTTTGACTCCAAATATTTCTGAGCCTCGATTTACTCGCAATCTGCTTCTTCATGCCCACGCATCCCAGAATTTAAGTGGATTATTTCCCTCAAACTGTTTCATTCTATATCCTGTCCAATAACTTCCGATCTGGGGTAATATTTCACCGTAACGGTCCACATGGATGAGCGTTTAATGAGACTCGGTAATGTGAATCTGGCACTAGAATTTCTGCCATGTTCATCGGCATGGTCTGAGTCTCAACAAGAATTCTTCAGGGCAATGCAGAATCCAATGCACGTTTGGAGGATTGTAGATTTGGCTCTCTTGAACCTCAGGTCCAGGCGCCGCATGAACGGAATTTCAGCTTCCCATCCCCAACGCCCTAATCACGCTTTCCGTAGAGTGCATTTTTTTTTAATGATCGTGCAACACAGGCTGCTTCACGTATGAAGAGTGAACGCATCTTCACACGGAATCCACAAAACAGATATCAAACCGCTGCCGCCACTACGCATGCAGCAGTTCTGACGAACACAACGAGTGCTTGCCCCGTGCTATTTAGTTATGCAGTTTGGTTGTTTCTAGTGAGATTTTTGCGACGAGCTTTTGTTGCAACCTTCTCCAGATCGCACAGCCCCGATGCAAACAAGGGCTCATTACCATTTGCTCTCTGGTTTGCACTGGGCCACACAATTCGTGGAAGATCCGCAGGCATGTGCTGGCCACGGATGCCGATTCTTCGTCACTTGCTCCTGGTCCTATCCACAGCGGCAGCGAGAATGTGAGCGTGGCAGATTGGCGCCGCGTGGCTGCGTCTGCGTTTGCGTCACTGGAGCAGCCACCGAGGCGTCAAGCTGCGGCTTTCTCGCCGCTGCTTGAAAGCAACGGAGCAACAAAGTCTCAACAAGGTTGCGTGAGATCGAACCACAAAGAAGTGAAAAATGACAATGAGGGGTGGTAAATGGAGAGAACTTGGCGAGGAAAGCTAAAATATATATATATATATATATACACACACACACACAATGCATGTATTATGTAATTAGATAAATTGAATATAAAATCTAAACTTACTCTTAAGGCAACAAAAAGAGGAGTAGAGGTTATTTGACAAAATACAAAAGATGGAATTATTTGGTTGATGTTACTTGCATTAAAGTATTTTTGGATTCAAATAAGTATATGGAGCAATAAAATGCTATGGTAGAAGAAAACATGAGTAGATCTACTCAAAAAAAAAAAAAAAAAAAAAAAAAAATTGAAAGAAAAAATATCAAAGTTTTTAAGAACCACTAAAATATAATGAATCAACATTAATGTAAGATTTGTCTTAATGATATTTTATTCCTTTAATGATATTGAGTTTAAAACAATGATTTAAAAAATAGAAAAAAAATCAAAGATAAAAATAAATAAATATCTTATAACTTACAATCCAAAATTAAAATCTTAATTGACATAAAAATATTTTTAAAGAAAGGATTTTAAATACTAAAATTAAATTTTTTTGAAAGATGATTTTAGTATTACAAAAAAAAAACTTTTGTAAGTATATTAATGATCTTATAAAATAATAATAATAATAATAATAATAATAAGATTAATTATGATAGATAAATTTAGATATTTATTTCATTGAAAAGAATATATCAAGTTTGAGTAAGTATTTTTTCAACAATATATATCAAAAATTAATAAAAAATTATTAAAACTAGATTTTGTTAAAATTATGGATTACTATATCTATATATTATAGATAATTTATATTAAAAAAGAGCTTGCAATAGTTTAAATAAGAAAAAAAATGTTACAAGTTTTTTAGTAAATCATTTAATAATCAAATAATCTTAATTAGAGCATCAGCTTCAAGAGACAATATTAAAAATATATAATTGAATTTAAAAGAAAAATATAGAAAGTAGATGTGCCTTTAAGCTTTCTTTTTAACGAGACTATTTGGATTTAATTTAGAGCTTAAATTCGGCTATGATACATCAATGTCAAGGACATAAATTTGAAAGAACTAAAAATTCAATACATTCTTGTATAACTCAATTAGAATAGATATTCATTCAAAATTAATGTAATATTGAAATTAAAATGGCTATGGCCAAAGACAAGAAGATAAGAAAGTCTTGAAACAAAACTAAGGATTAGAAAGGCATTGACAAGAGTAAAAGAGGCTTCACTCATGCGTCCATATATACTATCTAATTAGAAGCTATGTGGCAACATTCTTTAGAACATCCAACATGTTTCCAATTTGTAAGACATGTATTTTAACTTCAAAATAAGTTTCATATATGTGTGCTAAATCATTAGCTTGTATCACAAGCTACCAATGCATGCAACATGTGGCTATCTTATTGGCCAAGTATCTAACCTATCAATCATCTGCAAACACGTATAAAGACAAAAATACTTTTATGAAGCTTCTAAGAAGCATCTCTATAAGATGTTATTAAATCAACCTATTTTTATTTTCTTCTATATATTTATATTATTTGGATAACTATAAAAGTAAATAAGTATGTCTATGATATTATCTCTCCTTTTAGAGACAAGTTTCATGAAGAGTGGTAATTACATATTAAAAAAATACAAGATATGATAAATTATATTTGCCACATATTCTAATCTTTGTTTCTTTCAAAAGTAGTTGATATGTCCTATTAGCCATAGATAATGTCCCATTCCAAAGAAGAAAGACCATCCTATTATTTGATTATTATTGAGGCCTTCATAACTTCCTTCAAAAAAAATATTAATAATACTATTTGAAGTTATTCTTACCTCCAATAAAATCATCAAACATCAAGAGTATCTTCTAAGGTGATGAAACCAAATGCATTACATCTTGCCATCTATTCGAGGAAGAATATGTTGTTTTTAAAGGTCTTCATCTTGATTATATCATCTTTAAGACTATGATAATTATTATTTTTTATCTAATAAGTCAGCAAATAATAGCTCTTAAATTGAATTTTTTGGCTATTAATTTTTTATCTTTTTAATGCCACAAATATACAAAAATTACAAACAAGGATAGAAAGTTGAATACAATCTTTTATAAACTTTAATTCTCTAATAGAAAAGTTTTTTTATCCTTCATCTTGGCTGTTATGGATGTTATCAATAAAAAGTATCAATCTTTTTTTGTTATATTTGTAAGATTCTTGATTGGCTTCCATGTACATTCACTGATATTATATTTATATCAATGAATAAGATATTTTAACCTATTTTGATGTTGTCTTAAATCTAAGACTTCTTCAACTTCATACTCTTGATTATTATCTATTTTTATAAAAAGAGGTGGTATTTGTCATCTTTTTAGTATATCTATTGTCGTGTATGGCTCAAGAATACATACATAGAATACATGATGGATCTTCATAGACTTCAATAGATGTAATTAATAAGCAAGTGGATTAAATTATTTTCATATAGAAAATAGTCCAAATCTATAGTAATCCAATTTATCACAAAGGTAAATAATCTTAATATTATGACAAAGTAACCATACTTTATCACCAATATGGAATTGATGTTGTTCTTTACAATAAGCATCTACATTGATCTTTTATCATTCTTGAGCTTTTTTTAGTTGGGCCTTCATTATTGCATGTAATTTTGACAAATAATTCATCAAATGCTTTACTATAAGATTATCAAATTTTAATAAGTCAAAAGTATCAAGTTATGATAACTATAATTGGCAAAAAAAAATATTTTTTGAATAGAAGAATGTACCATATTACTATAAGCAAACTCTGCTAATAGAAAAAAAATTGTCCAATCATCTTATAGATAGTTAATAGTATACTTCAAATACTGCTTTAAAACTTGATTTACTCGCTTTGTTTATCTATTAATTTGAGGATAAAAAGCCAAATATAATTTTATATCTACCTTCAAAAAAATTCTAAAAAATTCTAAAAACTTCTAAAAAATTCTAAAAAATTCTAAAATCTTAATATAAATTGCATCTTCATATCCAATATAATGTTCTTTAATAATCCATGATAGTAATAGATATTGTCAAAAAAAAGCTTAGCTATTTCTTCACATATAATAGATTTTATTTATAGTACAAAATATGCCATCTTGATGAATCAATATAATATCACAAATATAAGATCATAAAAATATGAGATTAAAAGATTTGTAATAAAGTATATAAAAATAAAAGATCATAGTTATTTTGAAATAAATAATGGCTAAAGATATGCATAAGATTGATGATAAGGAGTTTTTTATCTGAAAAAAATATTATAGAATTATACAAAGTCTTTAATTGCCTTTTATATTTGAAGATACTAAAATCTTTAAATATTAGCTCCAAAGTTTTATTTTATCCAAAATATTCAACTATTTAAAAGTTGTGATGAACTTAAAGAACATGTAATCTTATTTTTTTCTCTACAATGTATAATTGTTTGTTGAAATAGAGTAGATTATTTTTAAGTTCAAATTTAGAAATATCATAAAACTTAAAAGAATTATTTTTAATACCATAAACAAGGAGATTAAAGGGTATACTCAATTGTTTTTGCTTGAAAATATTAAATCAACAATAAATGTTGATTTCATTGCTCAAAGATGAAAATGCTCTAGCTTCAAGAGAATTATTTTTTGTTAATTAA